ATCGCTCAAAGCACTTCGAGCAGGTCTATAATAACTACTCGCGAACCTGACAAAGAACCATCAACAAATATTCCCGATCAGCCTGAGACTAACGCCATGGCTCAAAATATTCAGGATACCACGGCTGAAGACACTACAGCTCAAAACATTACAAGCACACTTGAAGCCCTTCATCTTGATCCTCCAATCAATTCACCCGAAACTGTGGAATCCCTTCGTGCGTATGAGAAAAGGCCAGGTGATGCACAGAAGTTTTTAGGTACAAAGATTTTTATGCTTTTACTATTCTGTTGTTTTTGTTTCCTTAACTAATATCTTTGCAGATCACATGGGAAATAATTTCAGGTGGCCCGCTTCGATGCCTGATATCACCAGAAGTCACGTCTTCTGGGCTCTTACCGATGATTCTTGTAACGTTCTCGAAGGTGACCAGGAATACGCACTTAATTGCATTTACTTCTATGACAGTCTCGACAAGGGCATGTTTGATGGCCATGAAAAAGACTGGGTACTAATATACGAACAGACAGTGAAGAAGTATGAGTCAGAAGAGTATACGAATCAGCAACTGGTGGACCTCGATGAGGAAATGCCTGGTGCCCTTTACCTTCCACTTGATCCAATACTTCGCGAAAAGTATGTTAATCCTTACATTCCTCCAGCGAGGGCAGTGCTTGCTCGGCGTAATAATTATGGAGAATACCTGGTCTGAACAAAGTGATTGTTTTAATGCTAAAAGAGAGTTAATTCACTTTTAATAAATATTATTATTAAAGATCAAAGTTCGGGTCAAAAGAGTTGGAGCGGGGGATGAAAGTTCTGTCATACTTGAGTATCAATTTAATGAAAAATACGATAATGATAAGCTATACAAAACCGTTATTGATACAGGTGCTCCAGAAACGATATTAGCCTATAACGTTCGTCGAATCCTTGGAACAAAAGGGTGGCTGAGGCGTCCGGGCCATGCTACTGGGTATGGAAGCCCTGCTAGATTATTTTTGGCCCGTGATCCATTTGCAGTGCCTATCGGAGACAATAATAGTTGGACCCATTGGGTCCAAATCAATACGCTTCGAGTCTGGGAAGCGACTCCTGGTGATCAGGTGGATTCTTCCCTGATTGGGGATGACGTATTAAAGCAATTGACCTATGTGCACCAGCAGGAAAGAGGACTTATGTTCCTGAGCTCTCGGCATGAGCCTCTTTTGACAATATTTTTAGATAACCTATCACCCTAACGGTTAATCCAGCCTCAAATAATGTGTAATGATATCCTCCTGCTTGCGGACTCTTACCTTCAATTTCTTTGACATGTAGTGTCAATACTTTGCATCTTGATTTGAATTTTTAATAATTATGCAAGTAAAACCCAACGTAAAATGAATTGGTTGTGTTGCATGAAATCACACAAATTTGAGTTAGCGTATATTTTATTTTTCCCGGTTGTTTTACGAATAAATCGACGCGATATCTATATATTCGGCACTTCGTGCCGGCTTACCCGAATAAATCATAGTTCTTGGCAAAAGCCGTGATGATAAGAGTCATGTGATTTTTAATATCCTTTTGAACATATCCGCATCTTGTATAAACAATGTCAGATACTCAATCAAAAATCGATGAGTTGAAAACTCGAGACTCTGTCTCTTCATTGCAAGAATTAAATTCTCAGCTCATTGTCACAATTGCTGAACTTAGAAAGAAGAATGCTGAAGTTAAGAACAAATATGATGAAGTTATGGGTGAGATTATTGAGATCAAGGCTAAGAATATCAAAGTTGAAGCCGAGAATATAAAATTAAGACAAGTCTTAGAAGAACATGAAGCTAGATTTACTAATCTAGAGCAGAGAGATAAAGAAAAGACCAATCTTATTGCTAAACTAGATGATAATATTAAGGAAATTAAATAATCTTCGGCCAATACTAGTATTTTTTCTGAAATGAAATCTGACAATACTCATGAGCAAACAGCATCATAAAAGGCAAATCTTCATTTATTCAGAAATAGTGAAGATTCTCCTATATCTGATATATCTAATAACATATCTAATTCTGATATATATCAGAAGTTAAAAACTTGATTTTTAGCTAGCTCATGCTAATCACCTATCCACACAGAAACTAAATTACTGGAGGACAAGAAGATTGATGAATTTTTGAATTCAACATACAAAGAAAAGGTTATTAAAGAGATAATTTTGTATATTAGAGAAAAGAAATTTTGAAATCAAGAATTATTTTTTATATTAGTTAAAGAATTATGTGAAAAAATGAGACTAAAAGTCCTATTTGAGCAAAATAGCAAGTTAATGTCAATATAGCCTGAAGAAATAAAAGTTTCACATGATTATATAGTCACTCAAGATTTTATTCAAAAAGTATCTTCAGAATTCACAAATGAGAAAATCATTGAAGTCATTGATATACTTATCATCAACATGATAATAGAAGTTGAGCTAGCTTATTTATTTCTAAAAGTAAGTATTAAGAGAAAAAATATTATACAAGCTAAACAGAAAGAGATTTCATGTCATTATTTATATAGAAAAAGATTTGAAATAGGTATTCAAGAACTTATGATAAAAGAAAATATTTTAGAACAGATAGCAAGAAAATTATTATTTTAGAATATAATAAAATACCTTTCTGAAATAACTTTAAAAATCTTATGTAAAAAAACTTAAAGATCTATAAAATTTTATAAATTAATTGAAAAGATAGAAGTCAATAAGATTAAGAATATCAAGATATTCAGTATGAATTATATTTCAAAGTTTACATAATCTTAAATTCAAATAATTCTGAATTATTTTAATAAAAGTGAAAAAGTGAGACCAAAAGTTCCACTTGATCAAAATAATGTTATTAATTATGTATCTAATACAGAATTTACTGATATTATCAGCAAAGCTAATATGATCAAAAAAATCTCATTAATAGTTCAAAAAAGTGTATCATCTATATTTGAATCAGAAGTTAATATAATTATATTTCTTATTTCTATCAATTTAAAAATCAAGATAAGTGTAAGTTCTATCTTTAAAACTAAAAAGAAAGCTTTATCCAAGAAGATTCTATCTGAAAAGCAAAATAATCCAATATATACACATAATTATTTTTGTAACAAATTATTAGAGCAATATCCCAATTTATATAAAGATTATAATCTTGAAAATATTAATTATTATGAAATTAATTATATCTGATATACAAGTTAAGTCATAAGGATGAAAAAGATATAGAAATTAAATATAAAGATGAATCTTACTATATTAAATGTGAAGTATTTGAAATTAACATGATTATATCAGCTTATACTGAACTAATTATATAGTTTTATCTATTTATTATTACTATATAATAAAGATTAATATAAAAAGTGGAGCTATTAAAATAGTATATATATTTAATATATTTTTATATATATAAGTATCTTTATTTTATAAGTGATATTTAATATAGAAATTTAAATTGATTTGTAATCTTATAAAATAATAACATGAGTATATTAAACTTATAGATCAAATTTAATAAAATCTTTATGAAATAGGATACTTTATATCTAATTCCTGAATATTTGGATTAGTATTTCAAATTAACTGATTTGCTAATTACTATATCTAATAAATTTCATTTTAAGTTATATAAAATATACAAGAAAAAAAACTGGACTTGATTCTTGGATAAAGTCTAAAAATCCAGAATTCTCATAAATTGAAAAGACTAATAATTATATTTTACAGAATAATTCACTAAAAATTTAGATAAGAGTATAGCAGATAAATATTCTACTTATATTATCTAAATAACAATTCTCAATTTCTATTTTATCAAATAATTCTAAAGAAAGACAATAACATGTTATTAAAATAATTTTTTTATTTAACTCTGAAATATAACTTTAAAAATAATTACTTTGATTTTAATAGATTAGTATCCTGTCCTTTATGTAATAAAAATTATAAAAAAAAATATAAAAAATTATATAGAGAGTTTTTAAAGTAGTGATGAATATTATGATAAAAAACTTATCATCTTTATTATTATATAAATAAATATCAAAATTCAATTCCAATAATAATAGTAAAAGCATAAATAATTTCAAATATTAATGTACTTAACTTGATATTTACTAGCATAATTAATTTTTTTTAAATAATTATTATATATTATTTATTAGATATATAATAGAATATTAAATTATACTAGAAAATTAATTAGTATACTAATATCTGAAATACATCTTATATATCTAAAATAGATTATATAACAATTATTCCAAATAAATTTTACATATTAAAAATAGATTATATTATATATAATATATATATAATATTTATATGAGTGATTTATATATAAATATTATCACAAATAAATTCTTAGAATTAACTCTAAACTACAATTCTCATTATAATCCAATATACATCTTTTCCATTCTCATCATATACATCACTCATAAAATATAATAATTATAATACTCTCAAAGAGATAGTTCAAGAACCTAATCTCACTAAAATTAAATCATATTATTCTAAAGTATATAATTATTAAATCTAATAGATCTAAATATCCTAATTAATAAATATATTTAATCTTAATATTACTACTATTATTGATAAAAAAGATAAAATACTTCCTAAATCATATATTAACTATTCTGATTTTGATATGAAGTATGTTGTATTATATATATTATATTATGATAATAATAAACTCAATCAAATTTTCAATAATGAGAAAATATTTGATACTTTATCTATCATAAAATAGAATAAAATATCTGTTCAATAGATAATATAAGTAAGAATTTTATTATAAGATTTGTTTCATGAAATGAGAAAGCTATTATATCTAAATTTAGAAAAATTTAGTATATATTATCAATATTATTTATTTATATCATATAGTAAAGATAAATTTAATAATTCCTATTATAATAGATCAAGAATTTATAAAAGTCATATGACTATTTGCTTTAATTACTAAAAACTTATAAAAATTGATGATGTGAATCCTAAAAAATCATTCTATTTTATTAGACAGAAATATATTAATTAGCTCAAATCTAAAGATCTGATATAAAAATATTGAGATCACAAATGTAATAAATCAAAGACTGATTTTGAAAAAGTAAGAATTATATAAATAGCTTATTAAAATTATAAGAATAAATCTGAATTATTAGTAACTCAAGCTTAGAATACAATGAGAAATGATGATACTTCTGATGATGAAAAATTTCTAGATTTAACTCAATATAAAGTAAAAAATTCTCAAACTTGAGAATAATTTAATCAATAGTATACTAAATAGATTAAATTATATAAAAATAATTTCATAATGCATAGTTCTATTATTAATAGTTAATATAAAGAATATTATATTCCAGATAATTAGATAGATTCTAAAAAGAAATAATTGCAAATTAGATTCCAAAAGTGACTTTTAGAAATAGAAGTATAATATTTTAGACTTTATTTTATTATTTTTGAGATTAGTAATATTTTTTACTTTAGTTTTTATATATAATTATTTTATTTGATATAAAAAATTTCTTGATATAAATAAACTATAAAATTTATTTATTTTTTCAATATTTGTGATTTCCACTCACACAAAAAATAAATTACATAAAAATAATTAAAGTTTTAAGTTTATTTTATAAGATCTAATTCTTGAAAATACTCTGGAATAATTATATATAGATCTTTATAGTACCAAATATATTTTAAAATAATTTAATTTTCTTCACATAATTCTTTTTTGAGTTGATTCTGCTCTTGTTATTTGATAAAATTATTGAAATCTTCTTTGTAAAAGAATTTGATATATTTTTTATATTACTCTTTTTGCACTTTAATTGCAAAGTCATATTATAAATAATAAATATCAAGTTGAAGATCTCAGAAATATTTAAAAGCTTTAAGAAAATCAGATTAACATATATTAGATAAGAAACCAAGATATTTAGAAATAATTTTATGATATAATTTTTTATGCTTAAAATATTAATAGTATAGATATTATGTATTATAATTTTTTATACTATTAAGAGATGTATACCATATATATGATTTATTATATTATTAGTATATTGGTTAGAGAGACATTTTTCTTCTTTATTATATATAATTTATTTAGCATATTCAATAGTAAGATGATTATTAACACAATATGAATATTATTTATCATAATTTTTTATATTACTAAGAGATATATACCAGATATAAAATTTA